AACATGAATAATGAACACAAAATTAAGTAATTATCAATTATAAATTAAAACAGAGATAGGTAAAGTGTTTGGAACATTTTAAATAATTTTTACAAGTTAAGGGAAAAATTACAGAAATGTTTAATAAAACCAAAAACCAATTATAAGATTAAAAGACACCTTAGGAATTTCTCAAAAATTAAAACTGGAATTGTCTCATTACATTTTCTTTTCTAAATACTTGAAACCCTGTTTTATTTTCGGCACTTGAAGCCAGTATTTTATGGCTAGTGTGTGGGCTTGTTTCTGGCGTTTTTGCTAAAATCTAATTGGGACTGCAAAAAGCCGTCTGCTCTGTGGTGGCCACTGGTGCTGGGTGTTTTTACTCCGGTGGCAACTGGTAAATGGTCCATGGTCCGTTGGCTGCGCACTTCAGGCATGAATTGATTTGGTCTGGCTTCGGAGTCCAGTCGTCTGTCAATCAATTGTAATGAATACGCATTTTTCTATGTTGGCTCTCGGCGGGAGCGTAATTCCCTCTCTCTTCCCTCAGACCCACTGTCATGGTTAACCCGCTGGGTCAAAAACGTTTCTCTGATTAACCCTGAGCTGTCCAATCAACATAGGAAACCCCATTTAGAATAACCCTGACCTGCCCTGCGCAAAACAGTTAAAACCATTTGAAATACTTTTGCTTGCAATTAGAGTTTCTATAAATAGGCATTGGAACAATAAGAAATAATGCTTATAAAAAGTTTTATAGGAAAAATAATGGTTTTTAAGTACATTTAATGGAACTACATGGTATAGAATGAATAAGCCTGATTATATATTTTTTGCTTTGGTTGTCTATAATATTTATTTTGGGATTTTATTGATTTTATATATGAATTAGCTTTATTTTCTTTAAATATATTATTGTTGTTGATATTTTTATATATTTTTAAAGAACCTTTTGTGGTTTTCTTAAATTAAAGTTTGATTTTACTTTATATAATTAAGGCTCAACTTAAAACAAATAAATAAACGAATTGCCATTTTGACATTGATAAGATTTTATTTACTAATTTTAAAGGGCTTAACACTCCCATTTATTAGTCTTTTGTTTTTATTTTTTCATTTTGACACTATTAAAATTTCAATATAGACTTTATCAAATCTGATTTTAAGCGTGTCTTTTGTTTATGCCCTTTTGGAGAAGAACAAGATCAGCTCGTGCCCTTTGTTTTGTTTAAACCTATTTTAATGGCTCATAAAATCAAAAACAAGTTTCTTAGATATTCATCGCTGAGATTAGATAAAGGGCTTCTTTTGTTCACCTTCCAGATATGGAATCTTGTTTTGCGGTTTGAGTAGGGTGGAAATATCTACCTTAGGAATTAAACCACAAGCGAAATTTAGCTTTAAAATAGTTAAGAAACTTTAAAACACAATAACTTCTCGACTAACCAAATTATTATAATTTTATCATTAAAATAAAGCAACAAAATTAAAATTCCTGAAAATAATTATGGTCATGATCACAGTGGTTATTTTACCTTTTGACCCTTCTACTAAGATTCCCACATTCCTCCTCTCCCTGAGAACCAATTTACCACTTATGCACTTACGGATTTGAATTTTGCGGCTAAACCCGCCACAAACTGCGGGTCTCATCACTCCGCATTCCTTGGGCATTCCGCTGGGAAACGTTTCTGTTTCGGCTTGAGGGAAAACCACAAATTGAATTAGGCCCGCGTTGGGTATTAAGAAAATAATTCGCAAAGAAATTACATAAAGGAAAACAAGTGCCAACACACTGGCGCGCAGACAGATGCAGACACGCAGATTCGCCCACATACCAACTACTATACTATATAGCCGTACGATCCGAGCGGCGGTTTGCCAATTTAGCAGAAATAAAACGCCCACATGGGACGTGGCAACTTGGAAGCTTTGAGGGGGCAAACCGGCAAGCCGCAACTAACATTCATTAAAGACCAGAGCGAGTGAGAGAGAGAGGCAGGAAAATGCGGCGGAAAATTCAAATCAATTTAGCAGAGACCGCAATGAATAAATCCAATGAACGGCAGAATTGTGCCGCGCATGCGTATAAAAATAGACAAGGAAAATTCCCTTCTACTCTGGTATAATTTAGCAATTTAGATTTAAAATCATCAAAGATCTTTCTGGGTTTATTGACCTCTTCAACAGGCTCTGTAAATCAGCCTTCTCTCATTTTGACCATAATTTATGAGCCAAGAATTACAAAATTGCATCCACGCAATTAATTTGTGTAAAGTCCATGAAATTAATGTATATTTTTCCACGCTCTAGAGAACAAGGTGCGTGTCTACCCTGAGACATGATTATAAAAATGTAAATGTTGTACAAGAGTAAAGCTATCTCTTGGGAAAACCCACACTCTCCACAACATAAAGGCTTTTCTTGAGCAGCTGCTTCTCAAAGGAAGCCCAGAGAAAGGCTGGAATTACAATTACAGGAAGTAATCAATTTTAGCAGAGATCGTTGGCTAAATATATTCAGTGGAAATAACATTTAAATCTTTTTAGTACAATTTTCATAACATACCTTCTGCCATCGATAACCCCAAAAACCTCTCTCCAATGTCCAAAGCCCACACAGAAAATTGTAACCTGGGTGGACTGGCAGGCAATAAATCATCATGTCCAGCAGGTGACTTGACTTGGTCTTGGCGATAACACTTTATCGATTGCATAAGCCATGTCAGTTGGACAGTCCGTTTTTGGCCTAGGCCAAGATGCATCGTTTGGCCAAAAGGCAGGCCAAGTGGAAGACGACGACATCGATTCCTGTTCGGGGGCTTTCGAGAGTGGGATACAACTACGACAACCGCCAACGAGAACCACGTCCGGTCGGTCGGCTGGCAAAGTGGATTACAAGCGCATGGGCTTCGACTTCGAGTTCGACTTCTACTTATACTTTAACTTCCATTTCCAAAGCCACAGTCATTCATGCCCACTTGACAAAAAAAAATAAAAAAAACTGAAAGGTATGCTTAAGTGATTTAACTCGACTTTAAGATACCCAAGAAAGGAACTTGAAGGGGTAAAAGTAGAAGAAATACTAAAGGCTTCTTTGTATATCTAAGAAACTCAAGAAGGAAAAATATAACTTTATTTGGCCTAATTCAAGAAATATAAACTATAATTTTCTGTACGCTGAAAATACCATTTTCTTCCCCCTAACTACTGGTAATTTAAACTGTCGATCATTGACTGGCGTTATTGCAAAATCAAAAGCTGCAGTTTGATTTTTTTTCGCCACTTTTTCTGCATTTGCCGCGTGGGCCGTCACAGCTGCCAGTCTCTGGAGTGGAAAGGAATCAACGAGGAGGCACAGCCCACATGGAACTTATCTTTGAACTTCACTAAAGTCCCGGACTCAGAGTCGAACGAGGACATGGCTGAGGACGTGGTTGTGGTTGTGGAGGACTGCTGACCGCAAGAGTGTGTGACCCCTGCCGCACATGGCACCATTTATGAACAACAACTGTTCCGCCAACAAGTGTGCCCCGTCTGACATTTGGTTGGCCGCAGACAAAAGGCAATTTGCATACAGCACAAAATGTCAACTGCCGATGGCATGCGCAGGCGCAACAGCAGCAGAAGCAGCAGCAAAAATGCAGCAGATGCCACAGAAGCGAGGGAAACTAAACCAAACCCCTTTTTTTTACAGGGGTGGCAGAATGCATGTTGGGGTTGCAAGTTGCCAGTTAAATGGAATTTTTACAACTGCAACTGACGTCCCTCAAATTGCACATCTAATTGAGGTAGACAGAATGCAAAAAAACAACGGATGACACAAACTAAATTTTGTTTATTTAAGGCCATCAATTTATACGAAAAAAAAGGGGAACTGTTGCTTTTCTAGCATCTGCCAAATAGAGGTTTACTAGTCTTTTATAGACTTTTGTATTTAAAAAGAATAAAGAGATATCTAGCTACTCTATATATCCCATTAAATGGTGATAAATACAATTTTAAAAAGATATTTCCCTCTGTTCTTAGTTCTCCTCTTTTAAGCTCTCTTAAAAGTAAAAAAAAAATACATTTTAGCTTTTGTTTACCCAGAAAATAAACCCTATTCCTTAAACAACTTCCCAAGAAGACCCAATTAGCTTTCTGATTCTCCTCGATCAGCACTTTTATGCACTTCAAATTGTGTAAACAAGCTCAAATAAAAACCAATGCCAGCGAAATTGCTGACGATTGGTGGCAAGGCATTTTTACATAATATTGACACAGAAAGACAAAGTGCTAATAGAAATAATAAACCAGGCAGGCGGAGCAGATTAAATCAATTACGAGTCCGAGAAAAGAATTCCGCTGATTGCTGCTCGCTGGCCAATGGATTAAATGGTCAGTTTGGTCAGGAGGAGGAGAAGCAGGTGCTGCTGGAGCTCCAAAGCCAAAAAAAAAAAAACTGATCAAACGAAGGCTCTTTTTTTGCTAACTGAGATTGGGTCCAAAGACAATTGACAGTTGCACAAACGAGATTTAATTGACAGAGTCAATTTATGCAAACGGTGGCCATAAAACAAGTGCAACGAGATTTGTGTATTTCGATTTAAATTTGTAACTGCTTTTTGTTAGCCGATCGATCGGTTTAGGAGTGGAAAATGCAGGCCTTTAAAGGGGCACCGAAACTAATGGCATTTGTTATTATCAATATTAGCTCGTTAAAATTGTTTAAAAATATTCCAGGGTAAAGGCGATTAAAGCAAATTAAATTAAGAATTTGCGATACCTTATAAATGTGCTCCTTGAATAAGGAGCGCTATATTCTATACTCTCCTGCTAACAATAATACCTGAAATTATAAATAAACGCTTGGCAACACCTGCTTGTGGCACCCCTTTTTGAAGGGCTTCTTGTAATTTTCTTATTACCATTTTGGAACGCTTTAAACGGTTTGGTTTTTTGTGTATATCCTCACTTATATATCCCAACCTGTTTGCAAACCCTTTCAACTCATATGTGTCTCCATCTCCTTTGCAGATCTCCAGTCCATCCGACGTCTCCTGGAACACGATGCCAGTGGCTCCGTGTGCCCCTCCTGTCGCATCTCCTTCGACAAGGGCAAGAGACGGAAACTGATCGACACCTGCGGCCACGAGCGCTGCTATTCCTGTATGTTCCGCAACGACCAGTGTCCCATGTGCATGAACAGTTCGCTGAAAGGTGAGTACAAGCTCCTTAGAGTCCTCTGGCTGCATATAAGCATATCGGCAGAGCTGTAGATACATACGTATCTCAACGCTCTTTTGGCATATCTTTTGGATATGCCATATGAGGCTGGGAAATATTCTGTTACATGTTGAGTGCAAAATTGCTAAGGAGCCATAAAAAGGCTGGGTGTTTTGTATTTTTGTATAGCGGAATGCAGAAGCAAATGGATTTTTAAGTGGTTTTTTAAAAGGAAAGCGGGGGATGTAAAGAAAATATTTCTAATTCATAAAATAGTCACAAAATCTATGCCAAAATAGTTGAAAATTATTTAGAATATATATTTTTCTCACAAATTTATCCTCTTAGAAATATAAACCCCTGTTTTCTTGTATATTATATATTATAGTATACCTTTGTTATAATTTTTGCAAGCGTTGGCATTCTGCCATTCAAATAGCGGTTCAAGTTGCAAATGCCGCACAGTTGGTTACCTGATCATGTGGAATACCTGGGACTCACCTCTTTTTTTTTGTTGTTTTCTGAAAAAATTAATATTCGAATTGTGTACAAATTGCTTGGCATGCAGAGTTCGTATTGTCGGTTAACTTCATAAAAACCAGAAGCCCACGAGACAAAGGCCCAGCAACAACTCCTCCCACTGGTTACAAGCCCATGAAAACCGAAAGTTATGTCCATGTTTGGCCAACTGCTGACACGATTCCATAGGCCCAACGCCCTGCCGGCCACTGGATTTATTAGCTGCCGATTGTACACGATCGTGTCACCTGCTTTAAGTTTCCTCTGGCTCCGTGAGAATTTACGATTCAACTTCCAACTTGCTGCTGCTGGCTCGTTATTTATGATCAGGGCTCTGCTTTATTTGCATACCTAATTAAGTGATACAGTTCGTGGAATGGAAATTGCCTCATCCAGTTGTGGTTACGGTATTTAGATAGGATAATTATGTGAGACTTGGCGAAGCAAGATGCACTTGAAACAAAATATTAGTTGATTTGTTACAACTTTACAAATGATATTCCTAAAAAATAGAAAGAAAGAGTATTGCTTTTGAGATATTAAATTAAATGTATTATTGGAAATTAATCATAATTAAAGAGATTTCCAAATTCGAAGTCAAATTCTTAATTTCATGAAGAAACCCAGGATATATTTTTTCCCAAGCCACAGTTCAATAAATATTCACGAATCCCCTGGTTGACTTGTTGACCCACATCCGTCATCTTTGACCCACTGGTTACGGCGGGAAAGCCTCTTTCCTAAGGGCCACACATGTGTGCCACTTTTCAACCCAGCACTTTTTGCACTCTCTCACACATGTGTTTTTCCACAATTAAACTTTGCATTTGCATTTTCCACCGAGTGCGTTTGTGCAAACACTTCTTGACTTGATTACTAACATCGTTTTGCATGTGTCTCCCGCTCATTTTTTTCCATTTTTTCCGCAGATGTTGATGGCGCCAATGCTCAGGGCTATGACACCGGAATCGGTGGATCCACCTCGACAATTGTGAGTCCGCTGGGATCGCCGCAGCCGCAGCTCAGGTCGCATGCTCAGCGGAACGCGGCTCTGGCGCGCTACATGCAGGTGAGTGCGTACTGTGAGATACCCAATGGTACTTTAAGATACAATATACTCATTGCGGGTTTCACACGTTAAAAGATATAGTGATGGCAGTGCCTATTTGATTGGAGCTTTAGGTACATAGAAAAAAGGGAATTTGTGTAGTTATTATTTATATTATTTTTGGATTTAAAGGATATATTACTTCTTGTCTAAAATTAATGAAATATCTGGTATCTGGTAAATAATTGGATATTTGTCTAGCAAATACCCCACAAAAGTACCTTTTATATATAGTATACCATACCATCATAACACTCTGCAGAGCTGGAAGGTGGCGGAGCACCTCAGCATCTCACCATCGGCTCACCATCGTCGTCTTTAGTGTATTTACTTTAATGGCCTCTTGATTATGCTGCCACTAGAGATGAGAAGAAGAGGCCATCAAAGAAATGGAAAAACTGAGGGGAAAAAAGCAATGAAAAGCCAAAGAAATCAACGCAGAAGAATGAAAAAGAGAAAGAAATCTCTTTTGTAACTGCCGGTGAAGCGACTTTTGTTATACATCTCATCGACGACTCCCATTTCCGCTCATCTTTCTAAGCGCCTCTTTTGTCGCCCATTTTGGGGTTATCAACAGCGCCACTTTGACACAATTTCCTCAAGAAGAGGAGTTCCCATTTGGGAAAACGTGGGCGAAGCACCTTCCTTGGCTTTAGATGATCGTAAAACGGTTTAATTCGCTTTTAATCAAGCCATCACAGAGTGTGAACCGATTTGTTCAAAGCGATTCTAAGCAGCCATAAAAACCATATCCGTTATTTTCTGGGTGGTTTTTGAAAGCTTTTAACGGATTATCTGTTAAGCTAATATGAACACTAAAAAATACTATGGATTTTTAGAATAATAGATAAAAATATACAAAAAACTTGAAGAATTCCTTAACTTATTCGTTGGTTTCTTTAAGCCTCAACTGACCAACTTTATGCTTGATTTTCCTCTATTTTTATACCTTTTAAATCACTCAACAATCAGCGGAAAATCTACAAAACAATTACAACAATTGGCTGCTTTCCTCTTAATTAAATTCGATTTAACTGCAATGACAATAGCTCTTCCCACTGAACCCATCACCGGTTCATCAGCAATCAGCGATCAGCCAAAAGTTGTATCAGAGATCAGAGGCAGTTGCCTCCACCTCCTCCTCCTCCTCCACGTACTCCTTTGAATCTTTTTCCTTGGGATCATAGCCGTCCGACTGTCAGCAAATGTCACTTTAAATACGCCAAAACGGCGCAAAAGTTTCAATTGTCGGGCGCCGCTGGGATCCGATTCTGGAGGAGTTTAGCTTGGTGGAACGGGGGAGATTGCCGGTGCCAGATAGCTTGTCTGGGCAGGATGCAGTCGCATCGCGAACCGCAGAAGTAGCTGCAGATACTCGAGCCAGCCAGCCAGCAGCAGCAGCAGTCGTATCTCATATCTGAGCCCGTGTATCTCAAAGCGACTGTCAAATGGTTAAACTGACAGTTTGTTTTTCCAACGCGAAGAGAGCAGCAGAAGTCTCGATGGAGGAGCAGCTGCTGTGGGCCTGCAACTGGAGATATTCGAACAGCGATGGGCGATGGTAGATGAAAGATGGAGATGGCTATGGCAATGGCAGGAAACTGGGTCACCCAGGCGGCTGGCCGTCGCCTCGGGCTAACCCTGGCCATATTGGCCAGTGTCTTCTGCTTTCTAAGCCTGGCTTTGCACGTAGAAAAATAATGAGAATTTTTAGCAATGAAATAAAAAATCAATTATATATTAAATCTTCGAATTATTGGGCGAAACAATCTTTAGAAATAAATTCTTCCTTCAATATATAAATAAAATATTGCTGTTTCCTTAAGATAAATACATTTTATATATTTCCAAAGCCTTCTTTTCTCAGTGTTCTCTTTTTGTTTACCTCTTTTCCTCATATTTATGAACATTCGCATTTTCTGAAGTATTTATTTCATAGCGATTCTCAATTGATTCCAGTCTGGGTCTGGTTCTGTTTTCAGTTTTCGGTTGCAAACTTGCCGCTTGGTTTTTGGGGCCTGTATTTTCAGTCCGATCTCTGACACGTGACATGGGATTTCACTTAAGACTTTAATACCCGCGCATAAGCAAAACATAAACGTGCCAAGTCGCTCGGACACATGACATGGACATGAATGTAAATTTTCGGCCGCGGACTCTGATCCGACAGTCAAAAAGGACGGGCTAGGCGAACAATGCTCCCCCTGGTGAAGTCGGGAGAGATCTCAAATCCGACGTGTAAATTGATTTCTAATTATTGTCATATTTTGGAGACTGAAAAATTGATTGGAATTAGTTGGGAAAGTTTAAAAATTGCTAAAAGAAATATCTAGTAGAGAAAGGTTTTTCTTTTGGCAAAAGAAAATATTTAAATAAAGATATTAATTTTTATAAAATTAATCAATCCTTTAAACACATAAATATTAGAGGTTTACGCCGATGGTTAAAGGCATCGGCGGCGGCGTAGAGGTCAAAATGACTCGGCGGCGGCGGCGTAGTAGTCAGAAAGAACCGGCGGCGGCGGCGCGTCAAATAAGGCAAAAAGGCCATTTTAATGAGTTATTTTTTTTTTTAAGTTTTATAAAGAACAATGACACTGAAGGCCGCGCTGAAGCTGCGCCGATGCCGACCGGGCGCCGTTATTTTCATAATTTGGCGGCGGCGCGTCAAATAAGGCAAAAATCGGGGTGGCGGCGGCGGCGTATATGTCTAATAAATATTTAATTAAAATGCTTAAATGAAGTGCTTTTGGTAAATTCCACACCATGTTAATATTCAATTTCCATAACAAACATACAATTTTAAGAGACTTTCCCAGATAATACCAAGTAAACAAAGCTCACATTTGTTTCCTGAACAATTTGCCTGATTTAATCAACGAAGACCAACTGAGAAGAACCCCGACAGACAAGGCCATATAACACCATATCGCCATATCGCCATCAATCGTAAAATCATAAAATGTTCGACACCTAAGTGCCATCAAGTCAAAGCCTTTGAAAATGCCACCAAAGAAATGCCAAAGAAAGAAAGTTTCCTTTTACAATCGCGCCTGATTAATATGACGACTCGTTGCGATTCGATTCGATTTGATTTGATTTTGAGATGAGTCCAGATGCGCCGGAAAAACTGGCTCAATGGCCGGCAATTGAAGTGAATTGACTTTATGGCTTGGTGCATGAGTGGCTGCCTCTGTGTTTTGGCCAGCGACAATTGGAGCAGCCACAAAAGTGGCGGAGTTGCCTTGATTTTCCATTTCTCCGCGATCAATTTATATATATATGGATATGGCGGTGTGTGTCGGAAGTGTGTCAGTTAGCCATAGCTGGTAGCCAACGAGCACTTTACATAACTATCTATCTAAGCCAGACCAGAAGTCGTTTAGCCAGAAGAGGGAGTGGGGTGTGTTAGAGCACGAGAACTGTCATTAGATTAAGTGGCGGCTGGCCCCGTGGTCTGTGTCTAATTATCGTTTGGAAATCATGTTACAAGCAGGCCGAAAAGAGACACAAATGTGGTCAATATAATAGGAATAATGTTTATTAAGGAATTTAAACAAAATAAATATAAAAAGAAGGATTCAAAATTCATAAAAACTATATTTTCTAAAGGCTTTAAATATTAATAATTTTATAAAGGGCTTTATTTTATGTTTAATTTAAATGTCACTATTGTCTAGAGATATTTTATTTTATTAATTTAATCTTTTTACCTTTAAAAAGTCTTAAAATTTACATTAATTCCTTAATTAAGTAATTTTAAAACCTATATTCTTGACCACATTTATACCCTCAAGTCCAGCCAGCTCAATGCTTGTGATTGACATGCACAGGCGACAAATCAACTTGGAAAATGCCTGTGATTCAAATGCGAAATAGTTTGCATTAAAAGCGCCAAATAAAGCCAAATCTCGACTCGCGCGACCCGCAAGCGATTCGAGCGCGTTTTCCAAGCCATTAGCCGCCGAAGGAAAAACGCAAAGCGCGATTTTATCTCACATGCAATTTATTTTTCCTTTTGGTCTGTGCCTCTCGTCTAATTGTCCATTGCTGGCAACAAATATGGCGTTAATTATCCACAATTTCGATAGCATCACGTATTAATGATTAGCAAAAGCCAAAAAAATAAAAACCGCCAGCCTAGGCAAAGGCAATCAATCAAATGGAGCGCACCTTGGTTACTGTATCTTTTACTTTGCGGAATGTCAAACATTGTAATTGGTATTCGATTGGATGGCTGCTTGCCGTGTATCATTAGCTCTGCTTGTTGCTGCCTCGATTTCGCAAGAGATTTATGTATTTAGCCGGCCAGCTATAGTGCGACACCTGCCTGAATTGTGGCAGTTCGCAGCTCGCAGTTCGCATCTCGTATCTTGAAATGATTCCGATTGTGAGACACCTCGGGGTTTCTGTATTGTCGTTTTCCCTGCCCCGCTGTGCAATTATTCATTACTGATCGCGGTGACATGGCCATGATTTAGCGGCGAGTATGCGAATATTCATGGGTTCGAGTTGGTTTAAAGGTGTGACCCAGGAAATCGCATGCAAAACCTCTGTATTCTCGATCAATATCAATAGCACTGAGATAAGCACTATCTTTACTGACTCAGTTTTGGTTTTAAATGAATAAGAAACCTCCATTAATTCATAATGAATAAGCAATTAAAAGTACTTGTTACCTTTTAAATAATTCAAGAAAATTCAACCAGAAGCACATTATTTTTATTTGTGGTGTGGTATATATTACTATATACTTCCGTCTCTTTAAAAATATCTCTATAAATAAAATTGTAAGCCAGTTTTAAAGTTCTTTTTATTTATTCTATTTATTGAACTCGTCTGAAATTTATTTATATTTTTGTTTGCTTAATTATTGAATCGCATAAACCTCTTTCAAGGGTTGTAAAAGTTTTATTAACTTTAGATTTTGCATTTTATAATTAAAGCTTGCCTTTCTAAGGT